GTAAATGGCTTTAGGCATGAAAATGCCGCCGCCAAAAGTTATGTGCTGCAAAAGTGTGGCGCGAATCGCAGCAGCAACTTGATGGGGTTGTGAAAGACATTTATCAACATGGCGCAATGAGTGCTAATTTGGAGCGCTATTCATTTATTATGCCAAGTACAAGAATGGGGGTAAGACAAAAACATTTGCAGAAGAATATTTTATTCACAAAAAAATCTGGTTCAGGGGAAAGTGTCAGTCACCAACAAAAGGCAGTAGGCCTTCATACATACATATATGTACATAAGCATAAACATATAGATGTTGCCTTGAAGTAATGCTACCGCCAGCTTCAAGTGCTATCGCTGCGAGTTTGCTCTTATGATTGAAGTGGAAAATATTTTTTATGTTTAAACATAGTTGAGAGCATTTGGATGACTTACTAAGATTCGATAACCGGAAATCGTTAGAGTCGAATAATTTTGACAGATATCATGTTAGCAGTGAAAGTTTTGGTACTCTTAAAATTTATTTGATTTTTTTTTATTAGTTGGAAGGAGATCAATTGAAAAAATATTTGTGAATAGGGTTGCTACATCAACAACCATTTAATGCAAGTTATTAAGTATAAAACAAAAATCTTCTATGTTTTTCAGGAGAAGTAAGGTGTGGGGGCATTCTATTTAGATTTTTTTTAATAGAGTTACCACTTGTCGGAAAGATAAAATTAATTAAGTAAATAAAAATTGGAGAATATGAATGACAATCTGCAGTGGAATTCTGACAATCGTTACGCACAATTTTCCTCGCCGAATTTCTCTAAATGCAAAGCAGTGGGGCCTAAAGGTATGCAATATGCAAAAGTAACAGATGTAATGTGTAATCAGCGAAACCTGATAGCATGAGGGCCATGTAACTAGATGTTGCCTGCTGTTAGGCGCCCCTGCCGAGTAACATTTTAAAATTTAATTTTCCATCGAACTTGTTATATTCGTCGTCGAAGTGCCTAAGAAAGCTGAATTAACTAAGGCTGACCCACCCAAGAGTCGATTTCTTTCAGCCTTGCTGCCACCTCTCGTCCAATTAGATCAAACGGAGGTATTTAGATGCAATATCACTTTCAAGTCGTCAGTGGAGGCGAAACAATTGATCGCTTGGGCACAAATCGGTATCGGAGTATTGACCGCTAAACAGTGCACAAACATCTAAGATAATTTACAGGATAAACAAACTTATTGCCTTAATAATTTCCTTTGTGTCTTAATCCAGAACAGTTTACTTGGCATTACTTTCGAAAATGCACTAGTTAATGGAGTGCGAAAGTCACAACACTTACTTACTGCCTAGGAAAGATACCTAATTCATTCTTAGCAAGGCTTATTTGTTCAGTTCAGATTTTTACCATTGAATCCAAAGCGATCTCAATAATGCCCGAGGGAACTTACACTGAACCGAACGTTGCCGCAATTACAGTTACTTCGAACCCATTTGCTACCATGTGCTGCAAAAGTTGGTTCATTGTTAAGGATAGCCCATAAAATCTCATTGACGATTCTTCTCTGCAGCTCGTTCTTTTGCAAAAAAGTCAAGCTAAGCGATGAAAATCAATGGAAAAATAAATTACTTTTGAATGGTCAAATGAAAATGTGCAATATTTTTTTTTTTATGAAATAGAAGCAGGAAATAATGTTACTCATACGCCACATCGTACTTGGTCCTAATCGTACATCCTCATACATGGCGAATGAGTAACATTTTCCATGCTAAAGTAAAATTTTTTTTAATCTTTTTTTTTTTGTATTTTTAGCGTATTTTAGGGTATGTCAGTGCAACAAAGCCGAGTAGTGGTAAATTTTTAAATCAGCTCGAAATCGTTTGAAATCTCTAATTATACATATGCACCAGGAATATCGTTAAATTCTTATGGCGTAACGTCTTACTTATAAGAAATAAATTGTTTTAAACGCTTTCTTATGAAAAACCAAAATTTAATTACCGACTACCTAGCACTGCAAGTATATATTTACTCGAAAAAACTGCAGTGCTGAGACTGACTTGCCTCCAGAAGAACGATGATTTATGGACAATAAAAACAATGGTGGCAATGTACCACGGCCCTGTGCCATATGCAGAACAAACAAAAAGGTGTGGAACATGATCGAAAAAAAACGCTTTGACTAAATCGAAATGGTAATCGAAAACAGCTCGAAGCACATTCACGCAGATACAAAAAAAACAAACTGCACATCCAGTGAAAATATTTAATTCAGAATTTTGTTTTTTTTTATGCAGAAATGTTTCCAGAGCATATGTATAAAAAAAGTACATAAGTACTTATGTACATAAGAGCGAATGGAGCTACTGCAAGTGGCAAAATAAGAGCGCTGTAGGATACTTATGTATGTATAAACGCGCACACAGGACTATGAATTGAGAGATGTGTATGTGGGTGTGCGCGCATAGGGCGGATTAAAGCAATTTATGTCGCTGTAAGCGCTCCAGTGATTTAACAACGCCCTACCACTTTTTACTTCGCATTAAATGTGTGGATTAACACGACAACAGTTATGCTGATATTCGTGCATATAAACGAACATGGATACACATAGTTAGATATGTATGCACGTATCACATTTTCATGTTTGTACGCGCTAAGCAATGGGCTTTTCCTACCATTGGTATCAAAGCTGTGGCCGTTGCCGTATTAACAAGTATTTGTATATTTATATACTATACATACGTATGTATATATGTAGTATGCACGCAACATAATGCTAAACAATATGCGTAATTAATGTCGGTGTTGGCTTAAAGTTTTCAATGAAATATTAATTAAAATGCGTTTGCTATTTATTTTGTATGTGCAGGCATATGCTCCTATACATATATACATATTTAATACAGTATATTTTGCTTTGCTGCCTCTATGCTTAAGTGCACATTTAAGATACCTACCCCAAAATGCGCATCAAAAGCATTATTTTTAACATTTATAAGGAAACTGCTCCGATAGATGCATTGAACATACCTGCACATTGGCGATACCTGCCTTAAAAATTGTGCGACTAGTATCAATTATCAATGAAAGTATTACGTTTACCTGCACTGGCCCTACAATTACCTAATTTAAAACCTTTTATTTATTTTGCTCATCTCGCACAACAACGAAAATGGCTATCAATTTATGTAGTTATATAGATAATTTGATAACATTCGGTAAAAATTTCGAAAGCAGTAATTTCTGGCAAAATTGTGTACGCAAGCGGAAAGTGCATCTAAGCGAATAGGCAGATAAACGGAATATACTGTACAACTAAAAGCTCTAAAAGTGGTTGATTATGAAATTGTTATATTTTTTTTATTTGAATTCAAAATTACCTAAACAGTTTGTGTTTGGTTTTTATTTTATTTGTGTATATAATGACTAAACACTTATTTTATGAGGTCAAGCCATATCCTATTAGATTTAACCAAAAATCAACTTAAACTTCTTAAACTAAAAATCTACTTCCGTATTAAAAAATATAAAAAAAAACATTGTTTTAGTAAGTTAAAACCCCTTAAAATAGGCAAAGTTCTTATTTGTACTCAACACGAATGCTGTGTGTTGCATGTTTTGCAGACCGTCTTGAGCCGTTTTGTGAAGGGCTTGTGTTGGTCTGAATAGTTAAATAAAAACATGAAAAGTTGTCAAAATTTAATTTGTACATATTGCACTCGTACGTTTTTCCAAACTTTGTTGAGCGCTAGGCAACTGGTCATCACATTTAGCAATACCAATATCTACTAATGCAAAGCCAGAACATTTTTAAAAAATAGTGAACTTGTTCAAATAAAATTTTAAACTTGTAACTTAGTAAGTACACATTTTTAAACAGTTTAAGAGCCAATTAAAAATTTTACTACTTTCAAAATTTTATTACAAAATTAATTTTAATACCAAAAATGGTTTGCTTTTATTTGCACGTTATGTACGCAAAATTACGTGTTTGTATGTGTATACGTGTCTATGTATAAATTAACTGTTTGCACAGATAATTATTTTGCATGCGCATTTGGTTGCGTGTGTAAACTTAGATTTAAGCAATGCGCCATTTAATGCCACCATTTCTAATTTTTTTTAAATCAAAAATATTTGTTTTTGTAGTTCATTGGCTGTATCATTATAGGAGTATTCTCGATCTGTTGCATACTGCCTAGCTTGGTGCATAGATGACATAAATGGCATTATTGGATAATTTTGTTGTTGTTTGAACACATGTAACATCATCAAAATTATTCAATCTTGATATTTATGCTATCTATGCACCAAGCTAGGCAGTATGCAACGGATCGAGAATACCCCTTATGCACTATCTCTGCATGTATGTACATATATATCGCTACCTAAGGGTGAAAAGGTGCTAAGTCCTTCTTTTGAAATTGCTCAGGTGAGGCGAAAAACCAATGAAGGTTCGCATCATCTGTCATTCTGCATCAAAAACTAAATTAAAAAAAAACAAGTAAGAAAGTCTAAGTTCGGGCGAAGCCGAACATTAAATACCCGGCGCAAGTATTAAATATATGTTTTTTCACCTTTCCGAAACCTTCCGCTAGATGGTAAGCCGGGGTGTATCAATTTTGAGTAAACTAGCGTCCTTCAATTTGGAAATATTGAAGTTTCAAGCATTTCTTAAATTTACCGTTATATGAGAATCGGCCGTTATTTTAGTCCGATTTCAATATTTTTCAACGCTTTGCTTCTATGTGGCAAGTACAATAACCACACCGAGTTTGGTACAAATTGGTAGAACGATTACCGATATACTTATATGTGATCATAAGTGGGCGGTGCCACGCCCATTTTCCAAAATTTTACCATAAACGTATTTCTTGGTAAAGAATTGTTGCAAGCATCAATTTTGAATAAATTAGCTTCAATATTTAATGATTTATCGAAGATTTTGTATTTCTCCAAATTACCGTTATATGGGATGTGGGCGTGGTTATTGTCCGATTTTAAAAAGTTTCGGCGGTTTTTTATGCTGTACCAAGGCCAACAACTGTGCCAAGTTTGGAAGAAATTGGTGCAGCGGTTACCAAGATATACACATGTAACCATAAGTGGGCGTGGCTACGCCCATTTTCCAAAAATTTATAATATTCTTATTTTTCGTGTAAAAATTATTGCAAATATCAATTTTGACTGAATTATCTTCAGTAGTTACTAAAATATCGCAGTTTTCGTATTTCTGGAAATTACCGTTATATGGGAAGTGGGCGTGGTTAAAGTCCGATTTCGCCCATTTTCAATACCAACCTACCTTGGATTAAGGGAAACCTACATACCAAATTTCGTTGAGATATCTCAATTTTTGCTCGAGTTATCGTGTCCACGGACAGACGGACAGACGGACAGACGGACAGACGGACGGACGGACGGACAGACAGACATGGCTTAATCGATTTCTTTTTTCATCCTGATCATTTATGTATACATTTGTCTATATCTATCTCGATTCGTTTTGGCTGTTACAAACAACCGTTATGTGAACAAAATTAATATACCCTTGTGCACAAGTGCGCTCGGGTATAAAAAGTGGACTTGGCACCTTTTCACCCGTAGGTAGCGATATGTATGGTATTATCTATTGAAATAATTAGCGATAGCGTTCAAATTAATATTTTAGTTATACGCCACAAATTCTACCTTAATTTAAATTGAACAAAAATACACGAACATACATACATATGTAGGTATTTGCTTGTCCGTATATGTTAATTCTAAACTAACACTATGCTGATTAAGGTTAAATTTTCACGTTGAAATAAATACATATATACCGCACCAGAAAAAAAGTTCGCCAAGAAAAGTTAGGAATGCTAATCCCAGGATCCCGGCCTTTTTAGGTCCAATATATGCCGGGATTCTTGGCAAATCGGGACTTGTAATTTGCACTGATGACAATAATGAAAAGTCATTTTCTTGACTACTGTTGGCTATATTTTTGTTTTTTATTTAATAACTGATATTTTTTTTTGTTTTTCACTCTGACGTCAGTAACCCAAAAATGATTTAAAAAATTCAGTTAAATGTGCTTAGAGCAGAAGTATGGATATCAAATTAAAGAGGAAATTTCGTAGAATTTAATCAGATTCAATCTTTTGGTACATAAGGACTAGTAAATGTTGAAAATGTTCTTTTAAAATTTTATCCTTTAAATTTCGCAATATTTGCTTTTGAAAAAATTATATGTTAAAGACTTATAAAAACTCGATAAGATCCTCGAATTTCGTCCTACTAACTTTATCAGCTTAAAAAATTACCTATTCGTCTTTGTGAATCCAAAAATTTTTTATTTTTAAATTCTAAAGAAATTCCCTCTTTCATTTGGTACACATATTTTCATTCTACATTGCATTGAATTTTTGGAATTAATCATATCTTTGAAATTACAAAGTCCTTTAAAATAGAACTTGACGTCAGAGAGAAAAAATTTAAACGCCACTTTAAACAAAAAAAAGTAGGTTTCAAACCCATTTATTTATTATTTATTTTATGGTAGAAGAGATAGAAGCAATTTTTTTCGATTTAAGTTGTTGAAAAGTAATGAATATCTAAGTCCCGGGACTATTCCCGGGATGCCGGGATTGTGATAACCACATCTCGAAAATCCCGTTATCATAAAAAGCGGGAAAATTTACACCCCTAACATATACATAGATATATGAATGTTCATCTCATTTTTCATTCACGTTCCGCATGGCGTATGAGCAACATAGAAAAGGGGTTTGTAAAATTTTCTTCTATATGTCGGGCACCTTACCCACGGTGTGTGGTGATCAGTGGTATTTCAGGCTATATTTGTGCACCTTCTTCTCTTCTCTCAACGTTTAAAGCATAAATATTTTTAGATCCCTAGGGACCCACTTGAATGTTTGTTGATAAAAAGGGTAAGAGCAGATATTTCACGAAAACGCTTTTGTAAGCAAACTTATTTTCGGCTGTGTTTAAATTTGTGTAGGTCTTAAAATTCTGATTTTATCGCTCAGCACACAAAAAGACAAAGTATACGTGGAAAATTTACGTAGAAGCGATTGGCTTAGAAAATAAAAACTGTAGCTAAAATCGTAGCTTAGTTTCACAACAAAGAGCTTCAGTTTTCTATAAATTCCAAGATAATTTAAATAAATTCGTTAATAACGTCGACTAACAGCATTAATTTTTAATTCACCTTTAAATTTGCATAAAAAAAAAAAATTTAAACGACCTAAAAATTTAAGCCTTCTAAAAACGCAAACACAAACGTACTAAGGTCAAGTCGCAAAAGATGTAATAAGTTGTAAAATATAAATGAAGGCATTAAAAATTAAAGAAAGCTTATTGAGAAACTTGCTGCACTGGCCGACTGACCGGCTTTGATTGCCGTGAACCTTGGGCCAGCTCGAGGCAAAAAATAAAATATGCTTGCAGTGCAAACATCTACTTGTGTGTGTGTGTGTGTAAATGCAGCATAGAGCCGATTAGTTGTGAACGCGCCCGAGGGAGCAGACTTTGCTGTTGCCGGTGCTGGTGAGTTCAAATTTGTTTTTTTATTGGCTGTGGCTTAGGTGAGGAACGCAATGTAAATTGCTGCAATTAAGCTCGTGTACCGGCGGAAAAGGTGGACCAAACCAATGGAGAGAGTGCAATAAAGACGTATATCTTTTTTTGGGAAAACTTCAAGGTTATTCGTTTAATATTCATTGTGTAACGGAGTGATTTTAAATGAGAAAACTGTGCAGTGTGAACAGAACTCAAAAAAAATGCTTTGAAGTATGACATCAAAATATCTTTCAATAATTGCGGATAATAATCTTTGCAACACAAATTTCTATACCAAGATATGTACATAAGACAATACCAGTTAATTTCTACATCTGGTTAAATCAGATAAAGTTCCATATATGTAAATTGTGAACTTCTACACTGAAAGGCTCCACTCACCTGTTGTACATGAGCACATCGGGCTTCTACAGTCTGTGTGGAGGAATTCGGAGATCTCTCACGCCACCATATTCGCTTGAGTTCCAACGCAAGTTCATGTCGTTCCACTCCTATATAAAAAAGTAAAAGTTGTAGTTGAGTGTGGTGTAGTAGAGCATTATTTTTGGGAGCATCTAATATTTTTAAGTAGCTACTATTTTTCCGCTATCTTTTAATTTATTCGGTAATCTGACAAAAGTTCTCTACGATATTTACGTACATTTTCATTACGTTACCAAATGGAGCTTACGACTAACAGCTGTGAAAGAAAATTTCCTACATATATGTACAGTTATTAGTTTAAAACGCCCTTCCGTACAAAGTACGAGTAATAAAGTTTGTAAAACATCGCCGCAAAATGAACATTTGACAAAATGCTAGTCACAAGTTTCTAAGACGATGTTAAGTCACAATGAATGAATACCTATTAGACAGGCACCTATCAGGACTCCTGGAAATTGGAAGAGTTTATGCTTGGTCGGCTTAAGTGACTTCTTTGACCAACTACGGCTGGTAAACCGAAGGAAGGATGTTGAAACTTTCCAGTAAAAGACCGTCTGTCCGAAAACAGTGCGAAAGTTTTCACAGGAATAGCAGAAAATTAAGCAGTTCTAATAGGGAAGTATCCGCAGGCATTCTTCGACTAGTTTCTATCGCACCACAAGCGATCCTAAAGTCCTGATTGTTGCTTTTCTGTCGGAGCAGGTTAGGTTAGGCTAATGTGGCAGTCAGTTCAAAAGACCAACTCACTTATACTTCGCATGTTCATTGTGTTACCTCTCTTCAAGCTCTTATGAAGCGTAGAATTGGTTTTTCGTACAGCGGATAACTCTGTAACGCTGAGCAACTGCTGAGTAAGTGTTCGACTAATTCTTCATATTTCTCATCTTCTGAAACATTCGTGGCAGAAAATTCCAAACCTCGAAGAGTGCCTACCATGATACAAAAAACAAGGTAGTTCCATTGTCACTTTTTCGTCGCCATATTAACAACCTGACAATTAAGCAGATTGTGACATTTCGTGCTACCATACCCAATATCTAAAATCCTTCAAATTTTCTTATTAATGTTTTGTCGATTTAAAAATATTTTATTCTTAAGCATAGCATAATAAGAAATAAACAAGAAATAAGTTTGAAATTCCACAACATTTCCTTGAAACATTTTGCAACATGAAGCTAGCAGCACAATTTTCATGACATTTTTAAATACACATGTATATTTTAAATTGTGTGAAAGCTGACAGTTTATAGAATTCAGTAGCGACGAAAACAAAGGGGGGTTAAGTGGTTAAACCTTACCCAAGCCGATCATAAAACTTGCGACGCAATTTCGGCTTATTCCTGTGGGTCTTGGCAAGAATATAATCCCTGAGGGTTTAGCTTAAAATGGTTTTCGGGATACACCCTGTGATCATGTTACTTTCCAGAAGGTGTGGCGCCCGTTTTTCTGTACATATTTTCGTTGGAAAAATACCTTATCTCTGTATTCTAGTAAATGCTTCCAGAGGTTTTTATGCGTCCCCAGAATTTTAGTTTATTTGGCTTATACCGCTAGCTCTTTTGAACGGCTACGAGATTGTTTTCATATACCCCCATTTTTCATAGGTTTGGGATTGATTTCATTTACCTCTATTCCTAGTTCTACGGTGGCACGCCGCATTTTCCAATAAACTCTTATTTTTCCATGAGCTTAAGATTGACTTCATATACATATATCCATACAAAGTTCCAGGACTCTACAACAAATACTTTCAGAGATATTCACTATGAAAAATTCGATTTCTATGGGAGGTTCTACACGCACTTTAGATATCGGTTTTGTTTTAGCCTATAACCATTATTGGAAAACTTGTGTCCGAAATTTCAAAAAAAGCCGGTATGGGCATTGTGACTCCTCAAGCGAAATGAACTAATGATTGCAAAAAATGAAATCAAACATCGTAGTTGACCAAAAAAGAATATTAGACTTCATTTACTCAACTTCTGAGAATGTAGAAAAGCTAAGAAATATATAATAAGATAGGATATGTTAAAACAGCCTCCAAAAAATTTACTAAAGACGACCCTGGACTACACAAATCAGTTTTATTGAAAATTTGTTTTTATCTATTTATTTTATCCTTCAATTTTGGGTGTGTCAAAATTGTATGTGAAAACAATATGTGTTGCTAGAAAAATTTTATGGCCCATGAGTTCCAAAGTAAATTCCATTGATGTTAAATGGACAAGGACAATATGTATTAAATAACACATCGAATTGTGTAATTTCAGTAATTTGTGTAAATGTGTAATTTCAGAATTACATCAGAATCACGTATCCGATATAGAAAACTACATTGTGAATTAATGAGATGACATGAGGACACTAACATAATTTTAAAATATGTTCACCAAAATTGTATTAATATTAAAATAATGATTTGGCAAGTTGTTATCGAATTAAATGTAAAATTTAAACGTTTTCAAAATAAGATATTGATTTGTTTTAAAAGGTATATATTAATACAACTATTTACTTTATAATCCCAAATTTAGGATATAAAATGTCCCACACCAAAAAACTTACAATTGGGTAATGCCGCTTCGAATTTTTCACAATTGAGCAATTGTCAAAAATCTGCTTTTTAATCAAAAAGTTGTTTATTGAAACTACCTTCTTTTTTGTATCATGGTGCCTACTATGACCGGTTACACTAATCATGACCCTAAAAATGTTTTCTTTTGAAAGGCTGAGCAGTTCATTGATTTCAATTATCAATTTGCAGCCATAGAAACCTTGTTGTTATACAAGTGCCTTCATTTATTCATGAACTATTGAGGTCTTGAATAATGGTATATCTAATTCTTAATTTGCAGGTTCCCATGGGTATCTCAAATGTATCCCTGTCTTCGATCAGTGAAAAATTGGTACCTTTTTCTTGCTAGCTCATCGGCCCGGCAATTTTCCGTCAATACCTCTATATCCCGGAACCCATATGAGGCTGACGTTGAAGACCGAGGTAATATCTGTTAGAGCTGCCACGCTTCCTGAGCAACCTTTGATCTCAGCGTTATCGCATTCGTAGTCTTTTATGTGGCTAGAAATTCTGGCTGATAAAAGCTGAAGTGGCTCGGAATTCGGAATTATAATTTTTTAGAGAAAACTCCGTAGCCAACCCTATTGTCTACTTTGGATCCATCCGAGCAGAAATTTAACTCTTTCCTCTACATCAGGTTTCCACGTAAGCTTCCTATCCAATACGAGTCCTTCGAAGGAAGCTCCACACCCTTGAAAATTAGCGGGCAGACTATAGAGAGCATGTGTTTCCTTCTGAAGAGAATAACTTTAGTCCAGTTTCTAAGCGTAGCCATATTAGAGTGTACGGGAATTTAGACATTTGCCTTTAACGACAATTGTCAGGTCGTCAGCATAAGTAGTGACGTGAAGACTGCAAAATCTAAATAATAAGCCACTGCGCTTAAACTTAAATGAAGATTGAACGTTTTTTGACCTGTGTTCCGACTACAATAACTCCCTCAGAAAGACGCTAAGCAACTCGTTGGTAAATTCTTTTAGAGACAAAAAATAATCGCTTCTGGTCTTCCCCCCAGGCAAATAGGTTGAATATGAAAGACTTTTAGTATAAATTATTTAAAAACCGTAAGTTTGTGTGTTTTATGAACAAAAGTAATCTTGCTTCTCAGGTAAAATTTAGTTCGTTACCTTGTATTTGTGTTGCAAATCCTTTTCAAAGTGCAACAACTAAACACACTAACGTAAAAAAGACGTAACGCCATGCTTTTATGCGCCACTATGGCGGCCTAATTTCGACAAATTTTTATTAATAGCTTGTTGTTGTGCTCGCTTAAATGCGATTTCATAAGTAAATGTGTTGCCAGAAGTAATCAAAAGGCATTTGGCGCAACCGCCAAATTATAAACAAATGCAAAACGGACAAATTGCTTCAAGCCACACATCGAAAGTTGGCGGTTAAAGAAAGCGAAACGAAAGTGCGGAGAGACCAAATGTGCTTGAAAGCGCGGTTCCACTGCACTCATATTCACTAATTTCGATTTCAAATATGGATTATTACACAACTAAACAATGGCGGCTCTTAATGGATGGGTGGTACTAACAAGAAAGCACTAATGGATTGTGAAACAGAGAGCAGAGTGAAAGGGTTTG